TATATAAACGTAGATGAAAACTGAGAGGATAAATTAGAATTAAATAATCTATATGATATCAACAATCGATTCAATATTATGTCGTATAATTCTTATTTATCCTATCTCAATTCCATGTTTATGTACACAGCATCTTTATGTATCTCTCACTTTCGATCACATTGTTCCTGTTCCATATTTTAAAACACAACGGTGACGTGGCTGTATAGAGACCGATCGCAGATACGTAAATTTATTATCGTTTATTACTATTAATATCGTCATGTTAGATGGAAAGGCCCGTCAATCCTTTACTTCAATACGGAAACATAATTTACATGCGAGTTATTCTCGCTTACATAAAAATGTTTTTCTAGTATATAGCGCAACCGTAACGGTAGCGGCATGGCAGTAAATTGACGATGCCATTACGTATAACATGAATCAACCTGGTGGATTACAACCACTCAGATTGCATTACGGAATATTTCAACATGATGACGTTGACGACACGTGATGTTATATCGTGCAAATGGACCCTTAAACGGAGCTTGTGCCATTTAACGATTACGCTTGCCGATCGTCCCTTCTCGCCCCTCTCGCCGCGGTAATTATTTGCAATTGCGCTTACGTGATCGCTGATTCGAATAATTTCAAGCGGTAAACTCGTAGATTAAATCGTGGCTCTCGGCATTCTCTCGGCGTCGGAATCGGATAATTATCGGTCTTGGGTGCAATATCGCGAACGCGCGGATCGAATGTACATGTATAGGCGCTGCTTACTCACGATGCTTTCTCGCGAATAGCGATATCGTAAAAACCGAGTGATATTCGTTTACCATTACATTGTATCGCGGATACACTGCTCACCACCACCACGAGTAGTAATTGCGCCGTCTGCACCGTATAACGAGGCGTGCAAAATGTGTTGCGCTAAACACCAAAAAACCCAGATCCCGAGTTTTTCCTGTAATAACAATCGCTCTGCTTATTATCGTGAACCGCCCAGTGAGCGAGATCGCGAGGCTGATTGTGAGACCAGAAGTAGTCTGAATCCAAACATAACGATTCTAGATATCGTTTATATCCGAAAAATTTATATCTATATGTTAAAAAACTCTAATAAATTTCTAAATGATTTCTAATAAATCTCGCATTTTAATTTCACAATAATTTTTGTTCCATTTTATTTATATTGATCCATAAATTTCTTTCTGTTTGAAAAGACGATCATCATCTCTCTCGCGATATTTATCAATTTATATAGTCCAAATATCCACGTCTGCTCTCTATGAATATTACTTAACGGTTAATATTGATTTCAAGCTGTGCGAAAATTTTAAATCTGTTTCTATTCATACGTCAGTCCATCAGATGCGAACTGAGGAACCGACTCCTCCTATGTATTCGTCCCCTGGTGAGATGTGTGCGTTTGCAAAAGTGCTGCAACACACTGTTGCACATGAGATATTGTGGAACACTTACAATTACGCGAAATAAGTGCGAAATTTTGCGCGTTATTTTACGGGAGGTTAAAACACTTAAAACCGATCGAACGAAAATTTACTTGATCGTTTACGCCGCGAAAACTGATACAGGATTACCGTAATTATGACAATCTAATCGGTGTTCTCGATCACACCCTGAATTTCGTAACATATAGATCGGATGAGATCGCATCAGATGTGGAAAGCGCACTCCTCAGAATATCACTATGATTCTGATTAATTGGTAGATCCCGACTGCGATGCTTCATGTACAATAGATTGATCTATAAATCTTTGAGAAACAGGCTAAAAAATTTCGCGCAGTTTAAAATCATAAACCGTTTACCGATCACAGATATTATCTGCACATATTTGTAATATTTATCGTAATTGATTGATAGATTCTCCGAATCTATCAATCATGTAATCGCTGTTTCGCGCGTGATGGATCGATATAAATTAATAGAAGCAAACTTAAGAATTTCGCACAGCTTGAAGCCAGTAACTGCTCATAGATAGCTGATGTGGATATTTCTAATTATAAATTGATATAAAATAGTCAAATTATTCGAAATAATTATTACTCAAGGAAACGTTTTACAATCTGATTGGGATACGTAATATTATAAATATTCTGGAAATGAGTCCTTCTCAAATTAATTTTTTTACATAGAAAATTATCTATGTATTAATATAAAAGCGAATTAATATAAAAAAAGTATCGTAAAACTGTGAAATATACTGATTTATTGGAAACCAGAGATAAGATGAGATACTATAAATATGATAACGATTGAATATATTCCAGATTGATATTCTTCCTAAGTAAATTTGTATGAACTGAGAAAAATATTTTGATTTATGTGAAGATTTATGCACATGTTTTACTCACGACCCAAGACATTACCGTGTCTCTTGATAGCCATTTCATGGCATACTTGAATGAAAATGTTTTAGCTATTAGCAATTAGCAGAGATCAATTAGCTAGATAGAATTTAGATAGAGACATCGTTACGACAAGATGTGAATTATCTGACTACGCGTAAGAAACTTTGTAGAAAACTAGATACTGCATTTATCTGTACCGTACTCTCTAATGCCGTCTAGCACTGCGAAAGTTCATAAAATATGTACGAGATAGAGGCAATGTAGTGCTTATTATATCCCTAATTACATCGACAAGGTGCATTGATAACCACCGTGCATTAGCCTTGATTATCCTGCAATCGGGAAAAGAAAAAGAGGTTTACTTTTTCAGTTAGTATTTGCATTTGATTATATATTCGCTTGCGTGTTCGTGATGGAATACTTCTGGCTGAAGGCGTTGCAACGTTTCCGGAAATGTTTACGATTCAAGTGTAATAAGCGCAAATACTAACCCTAAGTAATTGCGTCCGAAAGAGCACTTCTAGCGCATAGAGGAAGAAAAAGCCGATGCGGCCTTGTGGCACAGGGGTGTAGCTATCGCATAATAAGAATATGCAGACACAGATGCATATAGGAACAGGCAACCCACAAACCTATTTCTTCTTTCTTTTCATTATAGAAGAAAATTAGAAATAAACCGTAATTTTAAATTTAAATTTAGTAATTTTTGTATACCAAATCTTTAATATAAAAATATCTTTAGAGTAGAATTTTGATAACACGTGTTACTTTTTTGATTAAAAGCACTTGGAATTTGGAACAATTAGAACCTAGTATTTTTTATCACAATATAATTTTTTTCAAGTTATAAAATTTATGTTGTTAAATAATAATTATAGATATATGAGATTGATGTTTGTTGCAAAAACGAAATCCATAGATCCCTGGGATCCATGAGTGACTTTGTGAAAGATTTGCAAGTTCTTCCTACGCCACTGGACACAACGGTGCAGCAAAGTTGCATCCAGCCGCGGGCCGGTTTGAAAGCCAACATTTAATTTACGTTCTACGTGCAGGAATGATGCTCTCATCATTTTTCGACGCCAACGATCCGTTAAAACGGTTGCGAAACGGCGCGAAGAAGAATGATTGAAGACTAAAATCTCGTGGCAAACATAATATCAACAAGAAATCCGGAAGTAAAAAAATATTAAAGTCTTGTAGAAATTTCAAGTACTTTTACATAAAGACACAATTCAAAATTAGAAAGGCCCAGGAATTATTTTTAAGATATCTAATGTAACACAACGTATCAATCCTTGTATATAAAAATTAAGGTTATAGGTTTATAATTTGTTTTTATGCGCAATTTTACATTAATCTTACGCTAATGTAATGTATTAATCTTCCATTAATATATTACATAATGAGACAAAAATGCACGGCGATTCTTACATAATCAACATTGTGCGAAGGCAAAGGTTAATTCAAGTTGGTTTCTTGATCTGGTCGGCGATCAGCCAATAACGGTTAATTATTGCCTTAAAAAATCGGAAAGAGCCGTCGAAGCGACCGCCAGTCGCGTAATTACAGTTATCTCGATGTAGCGCACGATCTTCAGTCTTACAACAATGAAAATGCTCGTAATTCATTGTTGTCCATGTTTCATTATCCGCGCGGGTAACGACGGAAAGAAGACTGAAGTAAATCAAGCGCGCGATATTTACGAGCGCATAAAGCTGCAATGTGAACAATTCGGAAGCCGATTTCACACGTCTTCTAATTAATCCAACTGTATATTTACGGGTGGATCCATCAGAATATTTTCGTTTTTGGATTCTTATTCTTTACAATTAGATTTATTATTTCATCTACAAATGATTCCGGCTTCTTATTATTCCGTATAAAGTTTTAAAATTTATCCGAGTTTAAAAAAATATTAAAACATTAATATAAATATAGTTCTTGAGAAAATATAAGAGCTTTGATAAATCAAGTCAGAGAGCAATCAAGATGATAAAGAACTATAGTTTAATTAATTATGAACTCGAGTTGCATTTTACATTCAAAATAAAAGAAAATTTATTCTGATATATTTTATAACGTTAAAGTAATCACAAAACTCAAAACATCACTTCTCGTAAAATTTCCCTATTGCATATCACTGCCGTTATATCAGATAAGCAAATATATGTGCGTATATATTTCTCCAAAATGAGAGCACTAATAAAATTTGGCCCACATATGCAACCAGCGTGCATTAACCTCTCCATAACTCGATACATGTTCTTGATACATGTCATTACTTGTGCGCTGTTAAGTTGTAAAGTAATCAATATAGGAACTCTATCGCAAATTATCTTATACGATTTCTACACTAGAATAACATTTCTATCAACACGTGCTCTTGTTTTTTATCCAATATGTTACCCGCGAGATATAGATATACAGCCAACTAATATTTTGCTACTTTTCCTATGAATATTTTCTTACACATGCTTATACATGCATTTTTTTATACCGCTGAAAAATAAAAATTTCACATCTCGTTAAATTTCAGGAATATTATTACAACACCTTCAGTGATTTACCCTGTAATATACCTATTAGCATTGTTATTTTCTCTTGTTACTCCGGTAACAAACGAACGTTGCTTTCGTTTGCAGGAAGTGTTGCTGGCGCACAGCAAAGTCACCGCTCACTGCGAGCCGATCACAGTGATCCTCGCCGAGGTGGAGGCGCCGGAACTCGCGGCTCTTCTCGGGTTCGTCTACACCGGAAGCGCTACAGTACCGCGGATGCGACTGGACGCGTTTCTGCGCGCTGCCGAAGCCCTGCGCATCCGGCTTCCACCGGTGCCGGTGATGACGACCTGCGGCGAGCAGGCAACGGACTGCAAGCTGGAGGACGTTAAGGACGTTAAAGTTAGCCCCAAGTACCTGCAATGCGATCAGTATCCTTGGTACCGATCGAGAAGACTGTCCTACGAAGACCCGTTCGACAGAAAGGAGTCCTACATCAGAATATTCCATACGGACGACGTCAATAGAAATGTGTTCAGAAACATCGGAGCGCTTCACGAAGTCAACAATCCTGGCCCGTCGTTTGGTTCCGGTTGTCCGAGCGCGTGGTCAGTCGGCAGTTTCTTGCATCAGGATAGAGCAACGGGTGATCCTCCCTCCGACAAGAATCACGGCTCGATGATACTTGCTGACAAGAATCCGGCACGAGGTCCTAGTAACGAATCGTCCTTCAGTCTATATCAGCGAGGCACGTGTCTCCCCGGAGGACCGTCTTCGGAAGGATACGCTGGTCCGGATACCTTGGAGAAGATTAGGATGGGATACGAGAGGTTGCACATGAGTAGCTCAACGGAGAAGGTGATGATGAACGAGGACGTTCTCGTGGGAGGATCGGGGGGAGAGTCTTGTGAAACGACGCGGGACGAGTGTCCTTACCGGAGCACGGTGCCGTTGTCGTCCTTGCAGTGCGCCACCGCCACCGCCACCGTCGGCCAGACGAGGTCGTACGAGATGCACGATTACGGCTCGCAGACCTCGACGGGCGAGGATCTCAGCTGCGGCGAAAGTTGTTGTAGGTGGAGAACCGCTCGCAGGCACGTGGCGAATCGTGTCACCGCGTCGCCGTGGCGCCAGATTGTTAGGCCCCATCATTCACCGAGGACCCCGCGGCCCATCCCCGTGCCACACCGTCACATCGATGACGTGAGTACCTCGACAGGCAAATATTAGCCCACGTGTTCGTCGATACGAAATCAACCGAATTCAATTCAATTGATTCAGGACAATTTTAATTTCAAATGTTATTTCTCTGAATATGTAAACGCGGTATTTTTATCCGGGGATGAAAGACGTTGAGTCGCGTATTCGCTTACTTTAACTACGAATCGATCTTGGAAATATAAGCAATATTAAAAGGTGAACATCGTGTCATGAGTCTAAGAAATAAAAACACATTTTTCAAAGACCTTTTAAAATTTTCCTTACACAATACTCGGCATTTGCAGTATTAAGCTCTTACTTAAAAAATTTGATAAAGAGACTGATTAAAAATTAAGTAAAAAAATATACGCAATGTAGCGATTCAGCTTGTTTCTTAAAGCGCACCGTTGACAATCCTTTTAGAATTGATCCGTTATTTCTGGAAGGCATTATGATGCTACGACAGCTACGGGAGACGATTTTATTCCAGTCGATACTTCCAATCACGAAACTTACAACGAACAACAACCATTGAAAACTGGGAAGAACGTAGGCTGTGCATACTCGATTACGATGCCAGATACGATTTCGTCGTATCTGTCGAAATCCCGTTGCCAGGGGATCCGTATTCCCACGTATGCACGAAAAGAATCGACCATTATGGGAACTATGCCAAGGTGAATAACACTGAACGACACGATCGAACGAACGCGTTTTCGTCCGATCAGTGATAAAAACTGGTACAGGTCAAGCGATGAAAAAAAGCGGATTCGACCACTGTTTCGTGAATAATTTAAGGAGACCAAATTAAGCATTCACGAAGACTGAATGTATTTTATATATACGGTGATTTATATTTATATTATCATAAATAGTAACGATAAACAAGCGCGTGAGTATCATTTATATACCTTCACGTTTCATATTTAATGAATACGAGACGTTTTTCAAATGAGACCTATAAAATATGGCACTTGATACATGTATTTAAAAAAAAAATAATATAATTTATATTTCTTTCCTTAAGTGCATTTATATGAAGAGTTTTAAACATCATATATATATATATTTTTTTTTTTCGATTAAATCGCATTTATTTTTAAACTGTAATTTATCGAAAATCATTAATCGCGATTGATTGGCTTGCGTTAAATGGTCAGCCAATTTCCGTAAAATGGTAAGACGAAGATAAACCGTTACACCCTTAATTACTGCGGCAGAAACGAAGCATCAACACGGATGCGCTCGATATGTCACCGTCATTGCGCGTGAGATTAACAAGAGGAAATGGTTTCAATATCCCGCTTATCTCTATAAATCGCAGTAACGGCGGAGTTAATTAAATAGAAACTGCGGTCCTCGCGTCGCTAAGCCAGCGGCATTGATACTTTTTGCCATTCCAATTAATTAACGTAGAAATGCAGAATGGTTGTTTAGCCCTTGTTCCATTTTCATATTTGTTTATTAATTTCATTTTTCTAGCTTATAGGAAACATAATGATTCATATCTATCATAACGTTTAATACGTCGGCACCTTGAACAAAAATAATCCTCGCTTCTTTGTTATCAAAAATAAACTTTCAGTGTTTTATTATGTAACAACATTTATACATTAATAGAATGTATGCAAAAATAAACAGATTAAGGATAATCTAAGAAAAATTTCGCGATTTTAGAACATATATAAATGTGCATATATAACTATATTTAATTGCAGCAGAATAATAATTTTTAATATTAACAATCGTAAAAATCTAAGAATTAAATTTCATATTTTATTATATGTATATTTCCGTTTTAGTCACGATATCGATCAGTATCATACGATGATAAAATGGTGTTGTATTCTATCGTGGATTCCATCTCCTATTTGAATCGGTATTGAATTCGCTTAAACCAATCATAGTGATATATAAGCTAAATTAACTTGCTTATTGAAAATTGTCTACTTTCAGCCTACCTACTACAAGTTTCGTTGTCAGATAAAACGAGTAATCTCATGAATAAACAAACATGTAACGAAACGCAGAAAATATGAAAACTAGTTTTACACGTTGCATAATGACGCCTCTCTGTCACTACAAGAACGTCTTTCCTTTCTCATATTTTGCCTATGCCTTCAATCACGGAATCCGCGGGATAAACCAAGTCTCCTGAAATTAATTGAAGAAAGATTATAATTATTTTTAGCATCAGCTATCAGATTTCGAAACGTAATAAAATCTACAAACACTTGCAGCCAACACTTGTTGGGAGATTGTTACGGCCAACAGAGATTACCCGTTACATGTGACATATCACGCGTTAAGAGAGTTAATTGAAAGCTGTAAACGCTGCACATGTACGAATGCGAACACCGGAAGACTCGTGTTCACCATTTGTTGGTTCTTCATTCGCTCCTCGTTCACGTACATTACGCATCTTTGCCGCTTCCAGCTGCGTTGTCGCCCTTCACTCGAACTCAATGCTGTTCCGCTTAATGTGGCTATCAGTTAACTCGCTGCGGCTGTTTATCAGACCGCCGCGCGCCGCGCCGTGATTGCGCATCGCCAGCTGGCAATGCCAGCTGCGCGCGCGTTTATTGCATTATTATTACGCGCCCGATCTGGGAACGTTTTCTCTTTCGACAACGGGAGATGCGTGCCGGATTTCGTGGACCGTCGTGCTGTCGCGACGACTGTCTGCTTACGCAAGCAACGGTTCCCGCAGCTTGCGCCGAGATTGGCGAAGATTTCAACTGGATAAGAACGACGCAGCGCGATCGCGCTCATGATTTTTCTTCACGCGTAGCGATAGAATTGACTACGTCTACCGGGACTCTGTCCAAAGTCCAAAATAAACTTGCAGCAAATTATTCTTTAAGGTCTTTCACTCTTTAGATTCATCTACATTTAATTTTTTTTTAAGTTTAAAATTTAAAAACATTATATATACTGTCCTAATCTTTGATTTAAAATTATTTGAATAAAAGAAATTAAATTTCGGAAAAAAGTATACAATTTTGCAAAACATAGCAAATGTCAATACGCGGAACATGGCAAAAGTCGATATGGAAGTGCGAAAGTTTAGATCCAAAGCTACGAATTCCGCACGTCCTCCTTTTTACCGCGTTACTTTTAATCCAGAGAAGGTGCAAAAATATTACAATAATTAATCGACAGGGTACGTTCGAATACGTATCTTATCTCGTGAATTTAATCTCGACGATTTATATTCGGCTTCCGTTGAACGTAAATGTGATTATTAAGACGCGAATAATATACATCTTAACAATTCACCCTCTTTATCGGGTCGAGAGCGAGTGTAATAAACTATTACTGTTACATTCAAACGGTCAATAGCGTTAAATTGTTTTACAATCCAGCTGCTTTCTAATTGCTGCTTTCTTCTGTTTCTTCCAACTGCTCATTATGCGGACGCATTCCTGGGCGCGACTATTGCTGCACTATAGACGTTTTATTTAGCATTAGCAATAGGAAACTGTCGACGTACGATTGTTGGATTATGCCGTGTTGTCTGGACGTGACGTTTAGAAATTGTTTCCTAATGCTTGATTAAATTTGCACAAGTTGACAATTTTTCTTCTATAGAATTATAATTAGAAGCCTAACGGTTACTTTTCTAAAAGAAGAGAGAGAGAGAGAGAGAGAGAGAGAAAGAGAGAGAGAGAGAGAGAGAGAGAACCCATGAATCTTTTTAATATTTTATTCAGTTACAACTTTTGTATGATTAAACAAACATTTAATAAAAAATTAATTGTAGAATTAATAATAATTCAGCATCCTTACAAGCATGCTTGTCTTTTGGACACACACGTCACATCTTTTTTCTGCAAAATACTTGAGATTCTGCAATAAATTCAAGAAGAACGTGCTCTTGTTCTACATTACGAGTATAGGTAGATATATTAGAGGGACGGACACGTCTGCACGCAACTCGCTATACCTTGACATTTTGGTGTCGTTCCAAGTTAACGAGCATACAGAGTTGACTGCTTAAAAGCACGAGCGTGACTAAAAGTACATTGTAAAACAGCAAACGGCGCTGTAATTTAGACGTCACTTTCTAGCTCATTGAAACACGGCGGCTGATGCACCGTGACGATTTCGATTCTTCACGCGAATGCGCCACGCTATTCCTCAAGATTAACGAATGCTGTCAAGTTTGACTTGATTGATTGTGTTTTTCTATCAATGGATATCCGATTTTACGTTGATACATTGAAAAATGCAATTGTCCTGTAGGAAAATTACATTAGCGTATAATGTTTTTACTTCTAATAGTTGACGCGTGTTAAATGTTTCTAATATTAAATGTTTTATTATAAACAAAAAGATAATATTTTAAAGTAATAAATGCAACAATATAAATATTGAATACTAGAATTCTGTTTTGTGGTCAATTGAGTTCAAATTGATTCGTCTCGTCAATTAAGGCAAGAGACACTTTAATGTATGTTTAATAACCCCGTTATTTAAAATTAATTATTTCCAAGAAGGAAAATCAATTCTGTATAAAAAGCAATTCGATGGTTGTTACAGGAAATCCATAAGAAGTCTCTGGTTGCCGAACCAATTCGATCCACGGTAATATCAATGAGCCCGAAGAATATCGTTCATTATCCGAAAAGTGCCCCGCAAAGTGACGGGCTTTGCCCTACGACTTTCCAAGTTCCTACCAGTTGCGAGACGAGTTTTAACAATGACTCGAGATTATCGCACGAGATACGTAGTGATCCGGAAACGAAAGTCCAAGAGATCTATCGATCGCCGATTCCATTCGCACCCTCCGATCAGATCGCGACGCCTGCGAACGAGGCGAGAAGCAATGAGCAACCCCTCTTTCAGAATGTCGGCAACGCGTCCACGCAGCCGTTATCCTCGAGCAACGACAGCGTTATCGCGAGTGCCGGCAAAAGTGGGGGATATCCGACACAGGTGGTTCCGCAGACGCCAACGAAACCCGAACTGTCGCATCCGATCAGCAGACTCTGCGACACGATCGAGGCTGACGAGAGGAAGGAGACGCCGAAGACGGAAGTGGCGAGCGCGGAAAAGAGTGGAGAAGAGAGGATCGCGAGGATTTTTGTCAACAGTGACAATAACAATAACGACGAGACGATCGTGAGCACGGAGGCGGCGCAGCGCGGACGATCGACGGACGACCACAAGTGCGCGCAGTGCGGAAAGACTTTCGTCACGAGAGCGTCGCTCAAGGTATGCTTCTCAATCATTAAATCAGACATTAACGCTCTACAGAGTCTAAAGGCTACACATTTAGATTCCCGAACAGAAACGTAGACATTATCTCACGTAGATCTTGGCTTCTCACACATTAACCAGAGATTTAGCTTGATAGATCTCATGGAGCCTCACTCTATTCACTATTAACATAGATTCTTGATCACCTTGGGTTACACAAGTCTTAAACTATCAAATCCCGACCGTTTCTCACTGATGATGTTCCTGATCACGCATGATGTTCCATAAGTCACTGCGCAAATTACAACCTCCTCGACCTCCTCGGCTGTTTTTTGTTAATGTTAGACACCGCGAGTCTCTAATTTCGCGGAATTTCGCAGAGTTTAAGTGTCAGTTACGTTGGACGTAATGTCAGTTAAATTACCGCCGTCTTTCCTTACGATGTTACATTATGCCTGGCGCAAACAGGCACAATATAACTTCATACTTGATCGTTTACACACTCTCATGTCGTATATCGATTATGATGAATGAGATACTGATGATCTCTAAGTCGTAACATATACCTACTTTTTTCCTTTTTTTTTGGCCTAATATTCTTAAATAGTAACTCTGTTCTGTTTGCCGCGTTTGTGCCGCGTACGAAGAAGAAATGATATATCGAGAGTTAAAGACGCGGCTTACGCTAAATTTTCTTTTTTTTTTTTGCCCTTTGTCTTCGGCCCCGTAGCCTTGTAAATAGCCTAGCTATACATCGCCGTGTGATCGTGTCACAGGTGCACAGCCGAACGCACTCCGGTGAAAAGCCGTTCCGCTGCGCCGACTGCGGCAAACAGTTTTCGCAGCTGCGCAATTACAAGTACCATCGCAGCGTGCATGAGGGCACGCGGGAGTTCGCCGCCACTTGTCCGGAATGCGGCAAGTACTTCAACGATCGCGGCTACCTGAGCTCGCACATGAAGATCCATCGGAACCGCAAGGAGTACGGCTGTGCGGAATGTGGGAAGAGCTTCAATCAGCGAGTGGCCTACAACATGCACGTGCGCATACACACGGGCGTGAAGCCGCACCAGTGCGATCAGTGCGGAAAGGCGTTCTCGCGGAAGATGCTGCTTAAGCAGCACCTGAGGACTCATTCCGGCGAGCGGCCGTATCAGTGCCAGGTCTGTCAGAAAGCGTTCGCCGACCGCTCCAACATGACCCTACACACTAGACTACATTCCGGCCTGAAACCCTACCAATGCACCTTGTGCTCCAAGGCTTTCACCAAGAAGCACCACCTCAAGACTCACCTCAACTACCACACCGGCACCAAGCCATATTCCTGCACTAATTGCGGCGGCAGGTTCTCGCAAAGCAGCAACATGAGGACCCACTTTAAAAAGTGCATCGTCAACAATACTGCCGGAATGACGGCAAAGTCCGGTGATGAAGCCGGTCCTGATCGCGCCGATGCCGAAAGCGGCATGGCGCCGCAGGTGGTCCTGACGCCGCCCAACTCTGATCAGGAGTCCAGTATTCTGACACCGATCTCAAAAAACGCTGTCGCCATAGAGAGCAACACATAGCGCGGTTTCTCCTGCTCGAAAGACAGAATCTCGAGTGTGGGCGAAGTTAGCGAAGAATAACGTAAAAATACTATCGTGGCCAATCAATCACCATTTTTATGATGACGATAGTAAATGTTTGACAGTAGATAGGGTATATGATAAATGCATTTGTCGGTAGTAAATTGACCGGAAGAAGACCGCAAACCGTTTGCAAGTTTCTAGGACGAATGGAATTATTTACGTATATATTAACGTAACGTTACAAAATCATCAGTAAATTTTGTTTCAAATTAGTATTAAAAAATACGCAATATTTTTTCGAGCCATGTTAGTTATAATTGAAGCAAGATTGCGTATCGATTGCGTCTCGATGTGATACGATAGTCATTGCATTATGCCTTTCAGTTCCTGTATTTATTACTAATCATCTCGTTATACACGCACAGAACTCCGTGTTCTAATCTAATCTAATATTTAACAATTTAGAATTTAACAATCAAGGAAATGATGCCAAATTTTCCATAGAAGATGATTCCCGACTTGGCAAAACTATTTTATTTCATCCGTCGTCATCTTACAATAATTCCCGCATCTCAAAGATATTGATTATTTTTCGATTTTACGATTTGAAAAATATCCAGTTTAAGTAGATGATTATAAAATCCTTAATTTGTAAAAGATTTTATAAACCTTAAAATTCGCAGATTCTTGATTCTCGTTCAATCCACAATACTGTATTTCTTCTATTCGATTTTCAGGTGCCAAATTAGGTAGTTATTGCAAAATAGAAGAGAAGTAAACGAAGCAAAAGAAGAAAAATATGGCATTATTTATTAATACATCTATTGACGCGTGAAATATATAGAATATATCGTATTTCAATTTTAAAAACTAAAACTCAAAATCTCTGTTTCATCTTATATACTCTTATACCAAAAAGGATTCGAGGAATACATCGTTTCTTTATTGCGTATCTTACGGTTAATAGCTCCTTCGCCGAAACTGCAACATGTGATTGCAACACGGCAAGTCCAATTGTCGGTTACAACACGGCACGTGCAAATACAATCGAAAAGTCTGCAGCCGTTTGCAGGAAGTATCTCCTCGTATTTGAAAGTAACTCGCTGGACTCGGGAGAGTACGCGAGCTTCCATATCAGCGCAAATAGTTTTGTAACAACCTTTTCTAGGAAATATCCCTATGGCAGCGTTTAAGAATTTATTTCTGAAGCAACTTTGTGTCAATGGCTAAGGCGTTTTCTCAAAAGGCAAAAACTATAATGGTGTGTTCTTGCATTAAACATCGTGCGAGCGATTTGAGATTTTATTGGAAACAGACACTTTAATTTAAAAATTTTTTTAATTTAAAAAAAAAATTGTGTCAAATAAATCGAGAATCCGAGATTTGGTAAGTAATTTAAGATCTGATTGAAAAATGTCAAAAGACTAAAAAAGATTATCTATCGAATATATTATGCAAGACAAGGATTAAGATATCGTTAAGAAAACAAGTAAAATAAAATTATTTGCTGGAAGTAATGCACTTCTCCATGTACTTTAAGATACTTTTTACATGTATAAAATCGAAGCGTTTATAATGTCGATATGTATATATTTGATATAGTAATATATTTATAATAACTTACAAAATTATTGCATGTCAATAGGAAAATACGTTTAATATATATCCGTATGTTGACTGTGTATGCGAAGCATATTAAATACACGAAATACAAATAAGCATACATTGTACAGTTATATTTGGTTGGACAGATCGAGTCATCTGTTCAATGAATAATAAAAAACTTAAGAAAATGTAAAAGACGGAACGTTCGATATTTTCTAACTTGAAAAATCAGTGTTTTATTTATTTTTTATCAAAACCAGATTTTCCTCTCTAAAAGTGTGCTGCGTTGCTTTGGTAATACTTTGCCACTTTGCGTCTGGGTGCACCTGCGGTATACTTTGCGTTTAGGGTAAGGGGCAATCGCGACACGCACGTACAAAATATAACGGTGCCTCGCGGGCAGAACATGCGGACAATGACGATAAATCGCCGCCGCGACGGTGTTCCTCTCTCGGTGGAATTATCGTAAATCCTGCCGCGCGACACAAATCGCTCGTTAATATTCAAGCGCGAGTGAATGACTCTCTCGCGGCAATACGTCATATTTTTCAGGAGTGCTGCGCTGCGGTGGGAGGGCATCGGCGACTTTTGCCATTAATACGTGTAATGCTTATTAAGTCGCGTACACTCGCGCGCTCACACGTGAAATATATTACCTCTTATATTAACATTATCAAAGTATCAATTTGCGATTTCACATATAACCGCGCTTCTGCGAATCCTCTGTAAGAGCCCGAGCCCACAGTCCGCGGTATCCGTAACTTTTTTCCCGCGAGGCAGCGTGTTTCCAATTTGCGTTTCCAACAATCTTGAAATAATTTGAAACTTATATATGACCCGTATTTTTCAAAATTGATTAAAATTACATCCACGATTACTGCGATTCGGATAATACTCCTGTTATCCTGCGAAACGCGTAGAAACGGACCGGCCTGTTTGCCAGTTGCACTGGACCTTAGGTATGCGCACAATAATGGCAAATCGCCGGTACGTGATGGTTTGTAGCTCTCGGAGCATATCAGATTACGGAAATAATCCCGGAGAAGCGTGAATGCTTCGAGCGGATGATGCGCGAGATGCGAAATAACAGATTTGCAGAATACGCGCGCGTACAGCACGTACAAGGTCAAGCGTATACCTCTGTAATGGATCATGGACACCATTGGTCGAATCGGAGGATCAATGGAAATGAGAATAAGCAGCGCGCGAGGTAAATGTTTTCAATCCACTAGAAATTAAGGTAAAAAAAGAAAAATGAAAAAAGAAAATACCAATCACAACGAACGTTATAACAATGAAGTAAAGTTCAATGAATAGATCTTTAAGAGTATTTTATATTAAAATTAAAAACGTTCTCTATATAAAAAAGAGCGACAAAGAAAATTTTTGATACAAAAAATACTCGCGTGTGCGACTTGAGTCAATTTATATACATAAGGAAATATATGTGCATATATCTCTCTCTCATATAATAATGATATCATAAATTAAATGTTATTTTACAGATTTGTAATCGTCGAATGTGATACAGATTTTTGTTATGAAGAAATGTAAAAATTCCTTGATTAATCTCTTATTGAAACGTCAGAGTTTCTTGTTTTTTTTTTTTTATTACAATTTGTAACGAAAGACAACGATATCTCTCGTCGTGCAAAAATTGATCACGTGTTGCTCAGCGATTACGAGTTGCATATATGAATGTCCTCTGTTCATTCAACGCGATGCTCTTCCCATTCTTTATACCTGCTGTCTCTCTTCTATCACTATAAGCCATTATATCAGCTGCGATTCTCTCCGCTTCCCATTCACCTAATCTGATCGGGAGAAATGGCATCTTCAAAGAACATATGTAGTCATAAAGAAGATCTTGAACCTGCTCGCTTAGCAAAGACACGACAAAGCTATCAAGGCATTATGCTCAGTCACAAGTGGGTTCTTAACACCGAGTCATCTTCGGCGCATCGTTAATTAGGCTCATGGCTCATTAAGCATTTTATCGTGTACGAGCCTCAACTTGACGGACTGTTGACCTCGGGTCGAAAGTTGCCTTAACAGTTACATAAAATCGCATGAGAAACGCGTTTATTAGCACGTCCCGACACAAACAAATCTGTGATTTAATTTCTCGTTTATTTTATTCTACCTTGTGTTGGTTTTATATTGATATCTCGAAATTAAAATTGAAAGAAACTAAAGTTGATTGAACATTTTTCAATCTTGTGATCTTTTTTATTAAGAACGTGCTAAAAAAACATGTATTAGATAGTATTAGATACACACAATTAAATGTAAACGGAAATAAATTAAGCTCTTGATAATAAACAATATTTTTCTGCGATAAAATGTATCCTTTAATTTATTAAGAGGTGAAAAAAATTCAGTTTTCGTAATACCAGTATAATTTATTCTTTCTACATCATTATTCTGTTGAATACCGTACATTGCACTAAAGATACCATGTAGAAAATGCGACGCTAAAATGCATTCGATGTTTGAGGAGTACATTAAACACCTGATAATTTAAAGTACTTATTACTACAACATCCGAGATAAAAAACTTTTTTACGAATCTTAAAAAAAGAAATCCGATCGGTGATCCATATATGTATATATGCGAATGCGCGAAAGCTTTCTCTTGTTCGGCTTGGTCTAATGGAAAACATAGGGATTGTCACTTTCCAGAAATAACTGGCCCCACTCCAATTACATGCACTTACGCGAAAGTATCAATAACGTCCAAGAATACGCTTCCGCGATTAAATAATAAAAGAATACTTGAAGTCGCCGCGATGAGAAAAAAAGTATAGATTATATAACAATGTGGTAACTTGGAGTAAGAGTGTTTCAATGGAATTAACTTGATTAATTATCTAGTTCCTAAAGAGATGTGTGTAAATTAAATATATTAATATTGATGTATATTAGTTATTTTATTGTATATATATATATATATATATATATATATATATAGATTTATATATATATAATGGAATTTTCTTTAGAAATTTTTAATTTTTTAATAGATTTACATTTGTGTGTGCATAGATTATAGATATTTTGGCGGATATTAAATTAGATTGTTCGAGCAAAGTAAAAGTTGCAAAATTAAAAGAATAAAAAGAGATAAATCTTAAATATCAAAAAATATTCCGATTTCTTAAATGTGCCTTTCAATAATCCCTTAATTTTTTTATTTTTTTTTATTTGAGTTTTATAAAAATTATACTTACTTTAACCGTACATTAATTTACGTTGCCACCATATATCCGAGTTTCCGTAATTATTCTTCCACGACACTGTGACAAATAATTTATCTGCTTATTTTGATTTATATATTTGTCAGCGACAAATTATATTTCCGACCTCGTGTATCCATGACCTATACGAGTTCGCAAATCGGCACCGCGGCATTTCAAGACTACCTGTTTGGACCGACCAAAGCATCAGATAACGTCCGTTAGAACTGGTTATACCGACACGGTGCGTTACGATCCTGCGGCGCGATACGGAAGATAAACACCGGATAGAGGTCCATCGCGCCTTCGGGTACGGCGACTGACCTCCTGAACTCGATGGCCGAGAAGGAGAAAATACGCCAGACCGACCGTCTCTACGTTATTTTATTTTATTTTTTTAATCATCTGTTTTACTAATTAGCAGTACTCACGAAAGACTCGCGGGGTTTTCGGTATAAACCCATAAACTCTCTCTAGCGAATGTGGAACACGTGAAAAAAATGGAACAATTTTAATATTACATCAATTAATTCGTGATAATAAAGGATACAAAAGTATATACATTACGTATATATATGTGCACGATGAGATCTGCGTTTTACGTAAATGTAATAAAACACGTATTTAAGGCGCGAGTTTTTGTAAATAATTTTTTCGGAAACAAAGTCACGTATAAAAATATTTTACTTTGTATTTTTATTTACTTTTTTATATCACAAACTTTCCGATTGTGCAATTTATTAAAACAAAAACTACTTGTCACATTTAAATATATTTCGTATCTCATACATTTGTTATAGTAAATATTTTTAAAGACATTCAATAAAACTTGTTCGATTACTTAATTTTTTATTATTTATTTGTTAAACTGCGATTATTAGTATTTTTAGATAATATTTAAAATATATATATTTGTTATTAAAATGTCTAATTTTAAATAAAAATTTTATTTAACATTATTTATTTATTTTTGAAAAAAACTTTTGGAGAGCACTAAAAATAATTGTTCGCGAGTAAAAAAACGTATACTGTGAGAAGCAAGGTGAGAGAAGATTAGTCACCATGCCGCGCTCTAATCATCAATTTGCATATTCATATGAGATTTACAGTTTGCTGTCAATTTACATATTCATAATTGAGTCACTCGGGATAAAATTACAAGCGAGAAAAATCGGTTCCTAATACCTTGTGAATGTGCCGTTTTGCGAGATACAGGAGTCCTACCTGCGCGTGTAACGTCTGCATAATCATATAATTGAAGTCAATTGACAGTCGCCTTGTAAACCGCGATAACGACACCGACCGCAATCGCGGTTGCTAAATACGCTTAATTGGCGGGGTAACGTAAAACGTATCTGGACGGCACTACGCTTAACCCCGAGCGATTGCGAGTCGGAACCGTTTGACTTTTTCCTGCGAACTCGCTCGTTCGCACCCGAGCACGAGAGGGACGGCGAGAAGGGATTCCCGGGCGCGAAAACGATTTTTCTCGCGCGCGGGCAGTTAAATTGTGAACGTTACGTAAGGCGTTCGAGCGAATCGTGTAAGCGCGCTATCGAGAGACGGAATTGCATCTCTCGCCGCGGAGAGTTTTGCTCGCGATCTATTTAAGAGTTTGCGTCACGAGCGAACAGTATTGTTCCCCCGCGGAGCGTTAAATGCTTTTCGATTAATGTCTACCAGATGATTTGCACGGGGTATCTCGGAATCGAGTGCCCTTTTAACCGCGGATTCTTCGGTCGATTTGATGCCGATCTTTCCGTAAGAAAAACCTCCTTCGGGATGAAATGTGTGTTTTGCTGTAACATTATTTATCTCAATTCAAATTATAATATTATCAAATCATTTATTTTAAAATAAATTATCAACATATATTACGCTTTGCTAATTTCTGTAACTAGATTTAATGCGGTTTAACAGGAGCGCTTTACAAGGCTTTTGTTATAGTGAACTATTA